GTAACCCCTGTCCTGTGTCACTCCAAAGACCCTACTCTTTCCCATAACTTACATGTTCTTTAAAGACAATGGCAGGGAGCAGGGTGGCAGGCAAACATTAGAATGCAAGGAAAAATCTGCTTAGAAATGAAGAAATGCGGATGTTGTAATCTTGTTCTTCAAATAGAAATAATTGGCAGAAGCAGGCTGAGACTAAAGAGTGTAGATTAGCACCTGACTCGGGACCCTACCCAGTTTTCCCTGCTCTCCTCTAAAACACTGTCATTCATTTCTTCACTCAGCCATGATTTATTGGGTGCCTAGTAAGAACCTAGTGATGTGTGAGTCACCAATACAGCACAGTGAACAAGAGTCTCTATTCAGAAGAGCCAAACAAGGAACAAGTAAATTAAAAACACATATAAGCAAAATCATTGGGAGGTTGGATTTCTCTGAGAAGTTGATACTTGTCTTGAGACTTGAAGAGTGGGAAGAAAATGGCTGTAGGAACAACCTTCTAGGCAGCAAGCCAGAAGAGCAAGTGCAAAGGCCCTGGGGCAGGATTGACCTTGGCCCAGAAGACACTGAAAAGCTGGCAACTAATGTAGCCTTATGAGCAAGCACCTAGTGGATCGTAGGAGATGTGGGCTGATCAACTGGGTTTTCAGCTAAGATAAGCGTGTCTTTCCTCTCTGTTTTCTTTCTCCCTTCTTTCAACAGCCAAGTTCAAACATTTTTATTTTGGACTACGCCCCCAATCAGGAAACACTGTATTTTATCCTCAGCACCTCCTGTGGGATGAAGCCCTCAGTCACCACTAGGAGTGCTGTTCCATGACACTGCCTTGCATGTTCATGGGATTAGATGGTGTTTGGGGGCATCTTTTTTCCTCCTACAATATGCAGAATGTTAGTGTAGTCTAGTAACTACATGCCTGGACTGTGGAGTCAGTTACACCTGGGCACAAAGACAAGTCTCCTAATCTTTCTAGATCCCAGGGTCCTCGTTTCAAAAAGGAAACACCCATATCTCACTGCATTTATTATTTGAGGGCTAAGCAAGATAAAGTATCTAGATCACACAGCACAGGGCCCGGCAGGTAGTAAGTGCACGACACGTGTACATAGCATTGTAACTGATTCCCCTCTGCTCACCCAATTGTATTGTTCATCTGTTCTGCAGATAGATGACCAGAAACAAGGAGATAAAGTGACTTGTCTAAGATCTCACACTGAAGACAGGCTAGAAGCAACACTTTGGGTGCTTCATCTAAGTGCTCCTCCCCCTTCGCTGCAGTGAATCGCTGCAAACTGAAAATTGATTAATAAACCTGTTTCTGCCTTCTGGGAGAAGGTATCATGTACCGTGAGAGGAAGGTCAATTTCTCGGAGCGTGGGATTAGTTCGGGCATTGATCTAAAAACTCTTTGACAAGAATTTCTGAAGGGCATACCTGCTTTGCATTAAGTATTTCCCTTCACAGTGTCAGCTGAGGGAAAAACAAAAACAAAAGCAAAAGCAAAAACAAAACAAAAACCCTACGCTATGCTTTCTTCAAAGGAAAACATAAAATGAATGGAAGCTGGATGAAATTCTGTGGGTACTCTTATCTTTATCCATAATCCTAAAATGAGCCCCGATGGAAGACCAATACTGTTATTACATCCACTGCTTAGTACTGAGTTCCCAAAACCCTGACAAGTCACTAATCCCAATAAAATATATGGAAGCTAATTATAACTGAAACACACAGAAGTCAGCCAGGAGGTTGCAATCAATAAGACTCACTGGGTGAAGATGATGTTCTCTGTGCTGGAGGGATGCAGTCCCCTCCCCTCAGCCCAGGGTGCATCTCCCTGCTTCCTTGCCCGCAGGGCCCCCAAGGGCAACTCTGCTCAGTAAACAGATATGTTGTACCCTGAGAAGGAAAGGAAGCGTGCCCACTGGCTCATGCCCAGGGGTCATTTTGAAAGCCAGAGACTGGAGATAGCCTGGTGCCACCTCTGTAACCTTGAGCCTGAGCACTTTCTTCTCCCAAGAAGAGTGTCCACCAGACACTCAGCAGAGTACCAGCTTCCCCTGCAATGTAATCAGCGGCAGGGCCACCAGAAGCCCAGGCAGGTTCGAATGCTATTTAAGCCTCATTAGGAAGCCTGGTTGCATTTCAGCAGCTGTGGTTCTCGTGGAAAGGCAACTAGATTTTCTGCCTGGTGTTTGGGTGTTTGCTGATCATTTCCTTTGGCCACCTGGAGAGAGAATCCTGATACTGTTGTCCCTACCCACTCACTATTGATTTATTCACTCACTGGCCTAAAATATATTCTATTACATGCTTAACTGTGCAAGGGAGATAATCCTCTCCGCATGTGTTTCAAAGAACATTCATCATTTAAAAAACTCATTGAGGAATCTATTTCTGTAATTTTGGAAAATAAATCAGAAATGCTGATGACTCTGTCTCCTCCAGAAAACGCACAGTGCATAGAAGTTCTGTTCTAGGTTCAAACAAGTACTAATTTTGTTTATCTCAGCATTTTTCAGACTCACTTGCTTACAACCCCACTTCCCCTTCTCAGCCAAACCTATAACCATCCAGGGTGGCTTCCCAGATTTGGCCCAAGGGCCACTGTTTACCTGTGGTCATGACCTGTGCTGTCCAGTCCGGTGGCCACTAGGCACCTGTGGCTGCCGGGCCCTGGAAAATGGATGAGTCCAAACCAAGACGTGCTGTGTAAATGCATGCTGAATTCTAAAGGCTTGGTTCAAAACAACAAGGATGTAAAACGTTTCAATATCTGTCCTATGATTATATATTAAAATATTTTTGGTATGTTGTTTTAAAATATATTATTAATTTCACCAATTTTTTTTTTTTGCTTTTTAAAAATGTGGGTGCAAGAAACTTCAAAATCATATAAGGGATTCCCATCTATTTCTGCTGGACAGTGCTGATCTCGATAACTTCGCTATTGGGCAGAAAGCCACAGTCTAAAATGAACTCATTAAAAAAACCAAAAAGCCCTCACCTCTTCTGCGTCCCCTCTTTCAGCCAAGAATCTTCTCAGCAAAGTCTTCCCTAGTCTGGGAAGCCAGTCACATTTACACTTCTCTTTATTGTTCAGTTACTGTCATGTCATGTTGCTTTGGTTTCCTCACAGATGTTTCTAGAATTTGCACATGTGTTTGTTTCCCTTATTCAGTCTGTACCTCGCTGAAACAGAAGGTCTATTGCACAAGACAAAACTGCTTTTCAGCCTTCTTTGCTGCAGTTCCAGGTCAAGTTGGCCATTTGGTATTGCCTTTTGCCTTGCTTCTGCTGGGTCTAACACTATGTCAGAATAATTCTTTAGTAAACATTTTGATTGAATGAAAGAACTATTGTCCTGGCTGGTGTGGCTCAGTGGATTGAGTACAGGCCTGTAAATCAAAGGTGAGCATATTGGACGAATGTTACATAGCATGGATTAAAAACATAGATCTTTCTAAAAATCTATGTAAAAAGCAGATGGAGGTATTAATGTAGCAATGAACTGTTAAATCTTCAGAATAAATGGAGAAAGAAGAAGCTGTTTTTCATACCGTCTTAAGCATCCAGCCTCATGACAAGGAGAAAATGAGGCAAATATTTTCTGTTCAGCCTGAGGTGTACTTTGTACTTGTACGTTTTAATCTCTTGCCTTGTACACTCATCAGAGCCATTTTGGTGTCAGTTGTAAATTCTCTATGTAAATGTATGTAAAACTTGTGCTATCGACAGATATTCCCTATTAAAATAAAAAGTATATCTGCTTTCAGTGACAAAGCAGGGAACTCAAAGCACAAATTCAACTAGCAGCTGCTGAGGCCCATTTCAACAGGGTTGATGAGAGGCTTAGAGGTTGATGTATGGGCAGGACCCCCAGCCCGACGTTCGGCTGAGCCTGCCTTGCTCCTGCTCCTACCATTCCCCACGCAGTTCAGGTGACCTGGTTTTCCTCCTCCTGTGGAGCTTCCATAGTCTGATGTCACATCTGACTCTCAGCAGAACGAATGTAGAAAACTCCCTGACTCAAAAAGCCTTCAGCTCAGTTGAATATCAACTTTCCATTAGCTCTGCAGTCCATTCATTCAATGAATATTTATTGAGCCTGTGCTGAGCACAAGACTATTACGTCTGTTGCCTGGATTCTTATTCCCTGAACTGTTTTCCTGGGCATATATTCCTCTTTTTTTTCTTCAATATCTCAGCTTGGATTTCTGCTTGGTTCTGCCTGGTCTGGGCAGGCAGCCTTGGGTGACTTCTCCAGGATTAGTTTATCTGATTTAAGATCATCTCTACTCCAGTACTACCTCCTTGCCCCTGCTACTGTGTGTGTGTGTGTGTGTGTGTGTGCGCGCGCTCCTGGTCCTTCTTGTTTGGGCACATTCCATGGCTGCTTCCCCTGGCTCTTCTCCGAATCATTACACACCCATCACTTGTGCCCAGAGTTGACCTCCTAAACAAATACTTCTACACATCATTCCAAATTTTCAATAAACTACCTCATGGCTACCCCAAGTGTACCAGTTCCTAGAATACCAGTGATATCAAACACAATACCAATTAGGGCTACTTGAAGAGAGGAATGTGGCTTACAGTTATCTGTTGCATTTAATACTTCCTACCAGTGCAAAATATTCTACTTTTAGTCATGTGACTCAAAGTGCACCCCAAGAAATAATAATCCTAAGAGAGGCACCATGAGAAAAAAGTGTTCCGTGTGGAAACGCTTGTATTCTGCAGGCTGGTTTGACATGAGACCCCCCACTGATGTCCCACTGAACCCATTTAGAAAATGCTAGAGGACACAAAGACACAGCAGCTATATTGTCCACTGTCCAAGGAGCTTCTCCTCGGAGTGGAGCTTGGAGAAGGATGCACAGCACACAACACAGGGACTGTCATGTGCTGCCTAAGGACGTTCAGGTAAATGACAGACCCATACACTGCAGCAGTCCCATAAGATGATTTCCTTTTTAAAAATGTAATCCTTATTGTATTTTAAAAGTATAGAATGCTTCCAAAATTTGTGCATCCTCCTTGTTAGTGGCCATGCTAATCTTCTCCGTGTCGTTCCAATTTTAGTAGATGTGCTGCCACAGCGAGCACTGGGATGACTTCTGTCACCTAGTAACGTCACAGCGCAGTACCTTCCTGATTTGTGCCAATCCCGGCTATCAGCCATAAGTGCCCGGTGGCACGCACCTGGGCCCAGGTGAGCTCCCCATAGAAGCTGCCCTTTCTAAACTGGTGTAATAACTGGACCCATCCTTGTGGTTCCCATTCTGACTGCAAGATGCCATTCAGCAATAATCACTAAGAAACACAGAAGAAAAAAAGAGTTTGTTACTTCCAGGCTCTGGCCTGTGCAGGGCACAACAGGGGCCACACAGCAAGGGAGCGGGAGTGAGAGCACTGGCCTGGGGCTCTGCCTTCATTGGGGCCAACAGTGGGGGTCTGGGGTTTCCGATGCTCACTTGATATTGGTGAATTTAAAACATAAGAACAGGAATTTAAAGGACATAAAAGGGAAAAAAATCAAGTAGCCTAAATGGTCCAAGATCTCTAAAACAAAGGGCTTAGCTTTTATCTGTTCCTGTGCATGGCGATGTGTTTGTTCAAGATAGTGTTCCTGGAAGTGGATGCCTTGGCAATCAGAGCTCAAGGCAGGCACTTGCATTACAAAAAGAAAGGCCACCCATCAGGGTTTGCACTGCAGTTTCCATCCAAGTATAGCAATGTAACTGCAGTACCAGGCCATACCGTGGAGGCCTGTATGAGTGCACTCTACGATGTCTGCACAAGGATGAAATCGTCTAAAAATTTATTTCCCAGAATGTATCCCAGTCATTAAATGACTGTAAACGAAGCACGAATGTGAGCAGAGGGTAGAAAATAAAATTGCTCAGGCAGTTGGCCATTCATTGGAGTGAGCATGTTGGGTTTGTGTCCTGAATCCCTACCAAGTCTAGGACATGTAAAGGAAGTCAAATGGATGACAATTTTAACAAAATTTTATGGTTTATGAAGAGATCCTTAGTTCTCCTGTTTATGTGGCCCAGAGCTTCTCAGACCTTACTGATTTCTGGTGCCCTTAATCACCCCTAAGAAGAACGTCCAGCTTCATCTCTCATCGGTCTCCACCTAAGTATTTTATGGTTGCAATACTGAGTATGTGTTTTGCAACCCATCTGCTCATTGACACTTGTTTCACTTTAAGTCTCACAGGCACATAAAGCCCATGTCATACTCATATATAATAGGCTCAGCTTATTTTGCTGGCTTAGTCATATTTAAATAGCTAAATAGGACAGGTGAGGAAGTAGAACCAAGATGCAGAGACTCCCAGCCAGAGAGCTCAGCAGCCACAGTCCTCCCTTGGCCAACCCAGTGAGGATGTCTGCAAAGGTGCAGGCTAATTCTATATGAAATCTTCATTTGTCACTAGCGTGCCTTTATTACTCTCCCCCACACTCAGGAAACTGAGAAAGACTGGCCAGGAGCTAAAGATTAATATGATAATGTGCACTCACTTTTTTTTTAAAGAGCCATACGAAGTTATCCATGTAGATATTAATTTGCTCTTGGGGCCTAACCACCTCTTCAGAATCATTACTGGCTCCTGCCTAGAGCAGCCCATGTATAATAGCAGTGCCAGAATTCACCAGGAGGCAAATGAAACATACTGATAGTCTGTACCACCCTTCTCCCCAAAACATTCTAAGTTAAAGGCTCTGTACCTATTAAGACCCAAGGATATCATTAATTTAATTGCTCACAATTTTATGCCTCAATCTCCTGTCATTGAAAAAGGGCCAAGAATGTTGACCTAATTCTCCCATGACCTCCAGTGAGAATTTGTTCTTTTAACAGAAAATGAAATTTTTCAAGAGAAAAAATGAAAATGGATTAGGAAAGAAAAGTAAAACACAGAAATTAAAGCCTACTTCAAAGAAAACAGTCCTCATTTCCTCACCTCTGTCCCTTCTAAGGCAATTCTTTGTTTTCCTTTAACCTCCGGAAGAAGGATTTCCAGGTTCACCCCAAAGCTTGGCTCTAGCTCTAGGTATATTTGTGGCTGTAATTTTTAAGCTGTGAAGTGCTGTGTAATATGCCTGCCACACTGAGGGCAATAGATAAATATTTAATGAGAAAAATAGACGAATGCTACTATTTTATTATTTTCCTTCTTTACTTTTGTATTTCCTTCTTTAGTTTACCCCACAGTGAGGATAGGGACGATTCAGAAACGGACACCTAAATGATGTGATAACATTTTCTGTTTCATGCCTCTGCTGTTCAGTCCTTGTGTTTGCAGTCTGTTGTTACTATTGACAGTACGATGTCCAAGGGGTATTGGTTCCAGGAGCCCCGCAGATACCAAGGTCTAAGGATGTTCAAGTCCCTGATGTAAAATAACATAGTATTTTCATAACCTATTTTGTATAACCTGATATAATATTTTCATATAACCTATGCACGTTCTTCTTTTAAATCATCTCTAAATTACTTATCATTCCTCATCCAATGTGAATTCTATAAACAGAGTGGTTATAATGAATTGTTTAGGAAATAATAACAAGAAAAAAAGTCTGCATATGTTCAGCGCAGATGCAACTATTTTGGCCTAATTACACAGTACACGTCGGGAACAAAGTAACTTTTCAAAAAAAGTATTTTCTGTCCATGATCGGTCAAATCCACAGACGTGGAACCGACAGACATGAAGGGCCGTCTGTACTTCACACTTTCCACAAACTACTGCAGGTGTAGAAATGAGAAGGAATCACGCAGTGGACATGAAGACACAAGTACTCGAGCTGCAGTTTTTCACCAAAACTCACTATCTATTCCTCTACCCTCTCCTTCTATCTTCCAAGTTTCTAGATATTTCTAGTCTTAGGCTACAGGAATACAAATCCATTTTGCTAATGTTCCTCACACAGTTGAATTTTCAAAGCCATATCTCTCCTGACCAAGGAGCTAATAAAATCTCCAAGAAATTTTAAGAAACACTGATAGTTCAAGAGGAAGTGTTGGAGTCTTCTTGCTCTTTCATCATTAATAGCCCCATAGAGTGGGGAAGGCAGGCCAGTGTTGAATTATCGCATCTTTTTAAAAATCTGCATTGTCATTATGACAATTATAATTAAAACACTTCGTTGACTTTCTCCAAAGTGCAGACTATGCTTGTCACTGGAGAATCAAAAGGTCATAGAAAACATATGATTTCTGCCATCAAAGGTTTATAATATATTTGTGAATTCCATGTGCATTCGTGCATACACATATATATTGTATATATGTATATTGCATAAGATTTTATATATGTGTATATGAGCATTATATATACATGCATAAGTACATACATATACATACATCTATGATGGTAATGGGTAAAATTAAGTTAGGAATTAAAAAATTAAATTGGGAAGATTAGTGAATATTACAATTAGCAATCATTAAAATAACAAATAATATTAATGGAAAATATAGAACAACAGTTTACAAATTAAAAATAAGAAATAAAAGAACTTACAGAAAAAGAACTCTATTTTTTGTCTATCTTTAATTTTATATATGTTTTTATTTTGTATACAGACTTCAAATTTTTAAAAATAAGTTTAAGTATGAGACACCATATACAAAATATAAAATGAGTGTTATGTGTACAGGCAGCTAGTATGAAAGTTCAGAGGAGATAGAAACCTGGGAATCATTATGGATTCTCTCCAAAGGAAGCTAAACAACTTCTGTATGTTTTACACAGAGTAGAACTCTTAACTCCATGGGACCTGTGTGGAGCAAGAAAACTTTCAATTTAATGAAATGCACATTAAATACAGTCTTTCAAAATGATTCAACTTAATACTTTCTTTTTTTTAATTTTTTATTTTATTGATTATGTCATTACATTTGTTCTATTCCCCCCCTTCATTCCCCTCTACCCTACCCCCCCATCCCCACCATTACCCCCCCTTTAGTTTATGACCACGTGTCTCAAGTTCTTTAGATTCTATATTTCCCGTACTATTCTTACCCTACCCCTATCTATTTTCTATCTACTGTCTATGCTACTTATTTTCTGTACCTTCTCCCCCCTTCTCCTTCTCCCACTCCCCTGTTGCTAACCCTCCATGAGATCTTCATTTCTATGGTTCACTCCTGATCTAGCTGTCCTCTTAATTTGCTTTTGTTTTAGGTGGGGTTGTTGATAACTGTGACTTTGCTGTCCTTTCACTGTTCATCTTTCTTATCTTCTTTTTCTTAGGTAAGTCCCTTTAACATTTCATATAATAAGGGCTTGGTGATGATAACTCCTTGAATTTGATCTTATTTGAGAAGCACTTTAACTGTCTTTTCATTCTAAATGAAAGCTTTGCTGGATAGAGCAATCTTGGTTGTAGGTCTTTGGATTTCATGACTTGGAATACTTCTTTCCAGCGCCTTCTTGCCTGTAAGGTCTCTTTTGAGAAATCCGCTGACAGTCTGATGGGAACTCCTTTGTAGGTGACTGTCCCCTTATCTATTGCTGCTTCTAGGATTCTCTCCTTCATTTTAATCTTGGCTAATATAATGATGATGTGCCTTGGTGTGTTCCTTCTTGGGTCCACCTTCTTTGGAACTCTCTGAGCTTCCTGGATTTCCTGGAAGTCTATTTCCTTTGCCAGATTGGGGAAGTTCTCCTTTATTATTTGTTCAAATAAGTTTTCCACTAGTGGCTGTTCCTCTTCCCCTTCTGGTAGCCCTATAATTTGGATGTTGGAACGTTTAAAGATGTCCTGAAGGTTCCTAAGCCTCTCCTCATTTTTTTGAATTCTTGTTTTTTCATCCTTTTCTGTTTGGTCATTTTTTCCCTCCTTCTGGTCCACTCCATTGATTTGAGTCCCAGTTTCCTTTCCATTACTATTGGTTTCCTGTGTATTTCCCTTTATTTCAATTAGTTTAGCATTCATATGTTCCTCTAATTTGTGACTAAAATCAACCAGTTCTGTGAGCATCCTGATCACCAGTGTTTTGAACTGTGCATCTGAAAGTTTGGCCATTTCTTAATCACTTAGATTTATCGGCTCTGAGGCTCTGAGTTGTTCTTGAACCATGTTTTGATC